TTGGAAAGATCAGATTGAACAAAGTCGTCACAGTGGTAAATTAAGAACTCTAGTACAAGTTAAGAATAATTTTGTATTTGAAGAATACCTTCATGAAATATGCAATGTTAAGCATCGCCAAGCAACAACAAAAATGAGAATATCTGCGCACAAACTACCGGTTGAATCTGGAAGATATACCAAAACACCATACGAAGATCGGTTTTGTACCTTATGTCAATCGAGTGAAATTGGAGATGAATTTCACTACTTATTATCATGCTCCAACCAAAAAATTTCAGAAACTCGAAATATTTTTTTAAACGAGTTCTATGGTATCAATAGTTCTTTCCGCCTATTTGGTACAAATAATTTATTCTTATATATTTTTAATATACATGATAAATCTATCATGAAAATAGTAGCAAAATATTTTCATGATATTCTTCTATTATATGATAATCAGTGCATTATGTAATCATGCATATCTTCATTCATGATATAAAAAATGTTAATGCACTTTTTATAATCTTATATCTTATAACAACTATCACATATAGATACGCTTTGTATCTTTTATTGTATGTAATTTCATATGTGCCTGTATTGGTATTTTGATGAATAAAGATTATTATTATTATATCACGCCTTACTGTATAAACATACAGCATGTCAACACTCTGCGCAGATACATATATCACGCCTTACTGCATGTTTAAAAGGGAAGCAAACTTTAAAATCTAAAATATGAACGACAACAGCCAGGAACGGTCTAGAAACATCTTGACGTTCTTATGAAAAAAAGGAAAGATTTTCTGGAAATGGAAAATGGTTTTATTTTTTAAATAAATAATAAAACAATTATTGAATTCGTTTTTCGCAAGATATGAAAAATTACCGAGGCCTCGTGCTCAAGCTCATTCAATATATCGTCTTCTTTTGTAATGACTTTAGGACAAGATTGATAAACAAGTTAGTTCTGGTAATCGTGATGTGCCAGAAGGCACATTTGACGCATTGATGCAAGTTGCAGCCTGCGAACAGGTTTGTTTCAGTATAATATACAGTATGAGCTTTATTTGATTGTGTTAGTACAGCTATTTTGAAAGAAGAGGTGAAAGTTGGCTTGCAAATCTTAAACGTATTACGGTAACACATGATTTATTAACACATGAGTGCCATCAATACCTACGTTATTTTAAACTGGGACATTCTAAAACATACACTATTTAACCACTGTGTCATCAATGCCTCCGCTCCTCCGGTATTTTCAACTGGAATATTCTAACACTTGTACTATACTGTGCGGGTCTATGTCTCACTAAACCAAAAATACCTGTACGTCGTAACGTTATACAATTTGATATAGGAACTTCAATGGGGAGCGAAAGAATTGACTCGGCGTATGGTACTTATTGCAACAGATGGTACGTTTCATATGGCAGGAGAAGGCAGGGTAAGGTTACGAAACAGCATGTCACGGTTTTCTTATTAGAATATTCAATGGCTTGTGTGACATTTGTGCTATCCATGCAGTCACGATTCAGTGATCGGAATGTTCCATTGTCGTTTTCATTGTTTTGAAAATTTCATGTGATGCAATTGGATTATCTTTCGTCTTTGTAAATAGCCCCTAATCTAGGACCCTCACATGTAACAGCTCAGACCCCGTTCATATGTGACCAGACGTATCCGAACGCAGCTAACCTACGAATTCCCCTGTGAACAAATGAAACTGATCGAAACTGCGCATGCTTTCGAATTACTGTAGCCTCGATGACCTTGAAACGACTTGAAAACTACCCACATCCCTCGCAGCTAAGAGATACAGTATGACCAGTATCTGCTTAGCAAAATATCATTCATGATCGAATTACAGTATATTAATCAGGTAAATCTTCATATTAAAATCATGATAAACTAAAGCAGATTACGTAGCTTGCTTACACTGGACACCGGACACTACATGCATTCTTTCACAAGTGCCAAAAGTATTCAGCATGTCGAGTATTTGTCTTACAACCAGGCCCCGAATTACTACAAACAAAAGTGGACCGCAACACTGAAGGACAAGAACATTTTTTTGATGCCGCAGACACCATAGAAAGTCATGTTTAATGTTTGTTTGCGCAAAGTATAATATTCGTTTGTATAAATGCTTAGTCGATCTCCCCAGTTCCAAACGTTTACAAATGTTGCGTAGAGTTGTTTACAGTGAAGTTGCATACTGATTACCCAAACTGATGATTTACTTGCAAGACAATCTACTGCTTTGTTACTTTTGAAGTAATATGCATAAAAATGTTACTCGACTGCATGTGATTGCACGCTCATGATTTTTCTTTGTGTTTTCCTCATCAATTTTTAATGAAATAGTACATAAATGTCTGTGTACGTATATTTTACCAAAACGATGAAAAAATATATTAATGTATAGTTTTGTATAAGATAAAATTTCATGAAAGATTTTAATTCTGGCATATATTTTGACCCATTTTGTGCTTTCGCTACAACTTCTGAATATACGCACAGAAAACATTGTTGCTTAATTCCAACTTTATGATACAGGAAAATGCCCGATTTTCTAGACGTGTATGCAAATATAAATAGTAGCTAAGTTTATTCTTGAACTGATTCGTTTCACCTGAACCGAATGTTAAATTCGTTTCACCTGAACCGAACGTTGTTAAGTTGACAAAAATTAGGTTTGAGAACACACGAATTTGCCATATCCAAGAGGGGCCAATCTGCGGCAGTTTTGAGCATTCGAATTGTGAAATCTGCTACGCCTTCCATTTCTCGCTTTTGCCATTCTTTTGCAGTCTACCCGCTCCCAGATTGGGCCATTCCATTTAATATAGGCACCCCCCTATTGAGGGGTCTGGATATCCTATGGGGGGGGGGGGGGGGGCGTTTTTACCTTAAATCTTCCTAGAGGGTAGCTTAAGAGATTTTCAAAAAATAGCAAAAATTTGGTGTTTTAGTGATATCCAATGGGGCAAACACGATATACTAAAGGGGGTATAAAGATATCCATGGGGTAACTTCCAAAAATCGCATCCAAGGGGGTTCTAAAATTTTTATATCCTAAGGGGATTATGAAGGGACCCCTCAATAGGGAGGGGGGTGCCTATATTCAAATGGATGGCCCATTGCCTGGGATCTTCTTGTGTGAAAAAGCGCTGAAATTAAAAATAGAAAGCCTAGGTCTGGGTTTGCGTAAGTTTTTTTTTTTATCTTGGGTATGTATCCACAGACAGATGCAATCAATGTCAATTCATGAGAATTATTCTCTTGTTTAGTTTGGTGGTATTGCCAAACCAAATGATGCCAAATGTCACCTTGCAAATAATGTCGTGGACGGTGGTCGTTTGTATGACAAGTCACTGGAGCTGGTAAGATGTACTGATATTGATATAAATCTGGATTGAGCACCTATTTTGTGAAACAAAATGTAGTGTACAGTTAACCCCCCTATTTAGCAGAATACAGCTGCTTTAATCCTTTTTCATTTACCTTAGGATTACCCGACAGTACACCAGGTTTATCAAAGACTTCAAGAAAGCAATATTCAACCTATTTTTGCGATCGCTGGCAAGGAGAGCACTGTACCGGCATACGAGGTAAGAAATCTAAGAATGCGGGAAGAAGTGCTGCCATCTACAATTCACTAAAACGAAACTAATTATTTTAATTACTGTCGTTCCAATTGAAGTGTTGCTCAAATATTGATTCAATACATTACCTCTGGCTGACCAATTCATTTGATCAAGTTCCTCGAGATATTCATACACTTCCTGTGAAAGAGCTAATTCCAAGTATTTGATCATTTCTGGTCACTTCCTTTCTATTTATGATTGGTTAGTTGTGCAAACAACAAAAGTGATTGGTGCATTCAAACGATTGGTGCATTCAAGTTGTTTACAATTATACTAGGAAGTGTATGAATATCTCGAGGAACTTGATAAAATGAATTGGTCAGCCCGAGGTAATGAATTGAATCAATATTTGAGCAACACTTTAATTGGAACGACAGTAAATATAATAAAATAGATAACTTCTCCTAAAAAATATCTCGCATATAAATTCCCCGTCACACTTTGCTATTAAAATCACATATGATTCATTACGGAAGGCGCCACTTAATTGTGAAGATTCTGAAATTTAAACCCTCTGAAATGGCAATTCCAGCCATTTTATCCAATTATTTAATAAACACTATTGTGTAAAATTTGTATTCGAAAAGCAAGAAACATTTCCCTTGACGCTCCTGCATTAAGAAGGAAATATTTTGGTTTGTAATTTCGTGAAATTACCGGCGATTGTCTGGGCTACAAACGGCAAAAATCGCCGGATGTCGTTTTCTATTGGGAAGCCTGATTTTCATCTTGCTGTAATGCATACAGTATCTTCGGCTTCATGATGCTTGTGTGCCTCACCCTAATCTACTGTATATGAATATTTAGCTTCAGACAAATGACAATGTTTGAACTTTAGGCTATCGTGAGTAACTGGGATGATATAAGTGCTACTTTGGGAGAATTGGATGGAGATTCTAGCAACATCATCGATCTTATTCAAAGAAGCTACGATGTAAGTGAAATTGTTTTAGCTCTAGTTTGCTGTATCGATTTGAATTCAAATTTTGTAATGGGATCAATTATTACAAGAGATTTATACCTGCATACAGTTAGGGCCTCCAGGTTATTGCATGCAGTTAGCTTAAGTTTTTTGGTTTATTTATTTATTTATTTATTTTATTTATTTATTTATTAATGGTTTATTTGCATATTATCGCATTGAAAATGAATTACAATATGCTTACTTGGAAATATACTAAAATGTACAAAAATACTAAAATATGAATTACTATATCTAATATAAATGTTAAAACCTAATGTAAAAGTTAAGACCATAAAGGCCTATACGTCAACTTGACTATAGCACATTGCCGGGATAAAACTGTTCTTAAACCTCTCAGTTCTACATTTGGAAAGCGATAATTGATTATTATTTCTCAAACTCCGTCCATGGACGTTTCCGCGAGTTGCCGTCACGGCAACAAGTGGTACAGTTTCGAGCAAGGCTTAGCAATCTTTTGTAAGGTATTCTGACATATTGAATGCCTTCTATCATCAAGGCGAGAACAACGACTGATAAATAGGGCTTCCGCATAATCAGTGAAAGGTTACAGAATTCGCAGAGCACGTTTCTACACCCGTTCAGTTTTGTTGGAAAGATACTGAGATAGGCTGGTATGCCAGACTGCATAAGCATATTCCAAAACAGATCTGATTAAGGCGTTATAGATTGAGAGCTAGTCAGCGGATGGAATTCCAGATCGACACAACACCCGAAGGATGTAAAGGCGTTTCGACGCTTTTTTTACGACAATTGCAACGTTATCATTCCATTTAAGGTGATTATTAATAGTCAAACCCAAAATCTTGAAAGATGTAACCAGTTCCAATTGTTGATCATTAATGTATAATGGAGTATAGTTATCAATTTGTCGTAAAAAGCTGATAACCATTTCCTTGCATTTTAACCCATTCAGTTTCATATCATTTTCACATGCCCATTGTTGGAGTTCATTGGGTTCAGTTTGTAATCGCGATTCCTCAGTTTCTTTTATAACCTCAGAAATCGTTACATCGTCAACGTATTTCCAATGAGAGGAGTTTAGGGACTTTATTTTCAGATCATTAATCATAACTAAAAACAAGATAGGGCCAAGTTTTGTTCCTTGAGGGACACCGCCATTTACATAAGCCCACTCCGAGTGAGACTCATTAATCTTCACTGCCTGACGACGATTTGAAAGAAAATCACATATCCATGGGATCAAACATCTTACTCCAAGGGCTATGAGTTTCGTAATCAAAATGTTATACCGACACGAAGTCAAACCGGGACCATTTCGTTTCGGTCATAGTATTATTTATAATAGATGTTTACATGAGACCGAGTGGAAAATAACTCAGACCGGTCTCAAGTCATTCCGCCTGCTGGACCGAACCGACTGACTTCAGACCGACATGAATTCAGACCGGAATGAATGTAAACACAAATACATTTCAGACCGGTCTCGGCTGTAACCTTGACATTGGAACAACACACGCTAACAAAAGCCATATAAAAAAGAAAATTGCCTGGCAAGGGGAATAAATTGAAAATTTTGTGATTTTCGTACCGGTCTCAGGTAAACATGTTGAAATTTCAATTTTCATTCCAGTTTGACTTCGTCCCGGTCTCATGTAAACGGGGCCTAAGCTATAACTACTAACTGGTGGCCAAATTTTCCTATTTCACAATGCCGCAACTCACAATACTGTTTACAGCTATTTCAATTAAGGTTGTCCACGAGCAAAGCGGAATAGTCGAATACGAGCGCGAAAGGCTGCTGGGAACCGCTTTGAAAATTCAATTTATCTGTATACTGTTGGGAAGTATAGTAGGCCTATTTTTAATGTCACTACACTTAGTTCGTATGTGAGCTTTTGCATTACAGACTGCAAACGTACTATAACAAACAATTTGAGGCATGCCTCCAAGACCAAGAGTGGCAATTAGACAAGCCCGGAAATTAATTTGTCCAGCTGAACGAAATATGCTTCGCGAAATGTACCATTTTGACAGGCACGCAGCTCGAGTATATAGGTTTTCTATCTATACAAATTGTCCTTTGTAGTAATAGTAAAGACTATTGTCCAGCGGATATGCACAGATATTTGAGAAAATCATGCACTTTGTGAAGAAAGCACCAAATTCATAGGAAGTGTTGACTTTAACATGATAATGAATCTTAGATATGGAGGCATCACCAAAATTGATGCTGACGGCTTAAAATTTAGGATTTCTTATATTCTCTTATTAATCTCTTATACAATTAAAAATTGTGAAATTGCAGGTTCACATATAGCAAAAATGACATGCGTCATTACAAAGCTTACAAAAAACTGTATATAAGGCATTTAAGCAGTTACTTTGATTTTCCAACTCCTCTGGAGTTATGAGCGGTTGAAAATATGTTTTAGGGCTAGTGTCCAGGACGTTGGCGGGATTTTTGCCTATTTATCACGTTTTTAAATAGCAATAACTGGAAAACTGCTTGGAAAATCAATCAGCCGTTTAAAAGTCTTAGATGTAGTTTTTTGTGAGCTTTCTAATCATGCAAGTCATTTTTGCTATATGTGAACCTGCAATTTCACAATTTTAAACAGTAATAGAGTTTAATAAGAGAATATAATTGGTGATGCCTCAATATCTAAGATACATTATGTTAAAGTCTACACTTCCTGTGAATTGGATGCTTTCTTCACAAAGTGCATGATTTTTTACTTTTCCGCTGGACTATAAAGACAAATTCCATTGGGCAGATTAACAGTGGGTTGCGAGCATAATCTGTCAAAATGACTATCTGCATATAGTAATGATTTATTACCTATATTTCATGACCATGCAAATTACAAAACGAATAACTCAGGACAACATATTTAGCATACAAGAAAGGTAATGCAACAGCCAATAGAATCTTACTATTTTGTGTTTAGCGATGTTTTGCATATAGGTCATATAGTGAGAGCCAATAAGAATCAGTGATTTTGCGTGTCTTTCGTCGCGTTAATGATATTAATGAGGCTTTACGTCCTTAGATGCAGGTCAACTATTATAACTCAAGAAACGTTTTCATAGCCATTTTTTATATCGATTAATTTACAATTTCTCATTACCACCACTCGATCAACGGTCGGTCGCACTATGAATGTTATTATAATAAGCAATGGTTAACTTTACTGTGATGTATGTGAAGTGTTTAGTAGGCCTTTTCTCGTTATATTTTTAGAAAATCACCTCTAAAGTCCAATTGAATTTTGTGAATCTTCAAGAAGGTATTCACGTTTCGGTTAAACGTCGTGATTGCCCGTAAGTATTTTAAATCTTTGGCCCTGGGTGGTCTTTTTTAATCAAATTTCCTACGCGAAATTGCAACGATATTTTCCCGGAAATGTAAAGTGTTCTAGATCGTCTAAATTTAATATCACTGTATTCTAATATTCGTTTATTTAGCTCTGAGAGTAATGAGGAAAACGTGTGTGTGGGCGTCAAGCCTGGAACGAGGGTAAGCAATGTTTTCTAAAATTCAGAAAATTACATCCAGAAAAATCCACGATCAAGACTAATATCAATACAAAATAGGAAAAAGTTGTATTTCGAATTAGTAGAAATTTTAGCGTGCTGTAGCTTTTGAATTTCCCGCGTTCTGATTGGTCGGAATTGGGTATAAACTATAAACCCAAAGGTTTATGGTTGCATTGTAAAGATCACTTAAAATAACTTAATAATTTCTTTTATAGAATTTTGGTAACCTTTTCAAGATATTCAACTTTGTTTCATATGCAAATATCACCGGTGTGACATCACATCACATAATGAGTTTTCTGAAAAGTATAGTTTTCTTGACGAATACGTATCTAAAAAACTTTAAAATTGCCCTTGTATATGTGTTAATTTCATAACTGGTAATTAACCCTCTGTATTTGTTTGTAAAAATATTTTATCAAGGTAAAATATTGCGCTTTCAAAATGTCATTATGCGATGTGATGTCACACCAGTGATATTTGCATATTAAACAAAGTTGAATAGATCTTGCAAAGGAAGCAAGTTACCAAAATTCTATAAAAGAAATTATTAAGTCATTTTAAGTGATCTTTAGAATGCAATCATAAACATTTGGGGTGAAATTTCGTGTCATAGGCACTTTAAAGAATGGGATGTTAATTATTATCTAATGCTGAATATTAATGATTGACAAGTTTTACAAGCCACTCGCTCGTTCTTCGCTTCAAGCGATAAGCTGACCTTATATCACCCTATCAATTCGAGCGAGAGTTGGAGCAAATCTATGCAAGCTTGTGATCACATCGCCTTCGGCAACTAATTGTGAACTAGTTTATGGACACGTGATCCTTAAGTTATGAGGCGCAATAGTGGACAAAAGTCTAAAATATACATTAGGGACTGGTCATTAATTATGGCGAGGGGTGGCACCGAAGAGAAAAGGGTTGGCTAAACAAAATTTGGCGTGAGTAAAAGGTTGGGTAAATGAAACACAAAACAACTCAGAGGTTGGACAATAAAGATTTATTAATTTGTCATTTCCAAAACATGACTCACTCAAATATTGAAGACTAAAAGGCAATGTCAACAGTCATATGTCAATACAATATGTAAATCAATCACTATCTTGATCATTTGTCAGAAGGCAAATGCTGTCTCCAAAGACACTACATGTTCGGACAACATAAAACTTTAGACTGCAGAAAATTGCACAAACAATTATCAAACTCGTGTCATAGGAGTGGTAAAGGACATATGTGAGAACTGAATGGTATCCTTTTGTATAGTTTTTGGCCAGGGGTGGGTATAGAAACATTTTCTGACTTTTTAATGGCTGGATCAGCAAAAATTTTACCAAGAAAAGCATTTCTCTTCGGTGCCACCCCCCCACCATGAATAATGACCAGTACTCCCTTATGGTATAATTTTGTCATACAGTGTGTGTTTCTTTGTCATATAAAACACGACGCGTAGCGGAGTGTTTTATATGTGATAAACCACGACTGCAAGTGCTTTAAATAGCTTCAAAAACGACTCATCTTATACGAGTTCATTGGCGAAGTAATTTTTGAAATAAACTTTGTCTAAACCGAGAAAATCAAAGCTAAAGTTTATGTAAATTAACGTGATTTTTTATCACATATAAAACCACCACACGCTTATGATTTTTCTTTGTGTTTTGCTCCTGAATTATTAATGAGTTTTTGAAATATGATTATACTTTGATGATCTTTATTATAAAGCCTGCTTGCAGTATATAAAGTCGAATACGAGCGCGAAAGGCTGCTGGGAATCGCTAATAAATGAATTTATTAGCGATTCCCAGCAGCCTTTCGCGCTCGTATTCGACTTTTCCTCTTTGCTCGGGGGGGCAACCTTAATTGAAATAGCTGTATGGTCTGTTTTTAATTCTAATTTATAAAGTCTACCCTGGGAACAAGTATATATAAGAGCTCACTGCGCGGTCAGACAATTGTACTTACATCAAGTATAAAATATCCTTAATTCTATTAGGGGCTCAAGGCTTTTACTTGTTCCCAGGGTAGACTATATAAATTAGAATTAAAAACATACCATATAGGCCTATATGATGAAAAGTTAAACAGACCATATATAATGACCGAAAACAAACCTTATATAATGAAAAAGACCTTATACTGTATTATAAGCAAACCATGCATAGTGGAATCAGACTAAAACTAATGAAAAGAGACCATATATAAGGAAAACAGACTTTATATACTGCAAGCAGGCTTTATAATAAAGACCATCAAAGTATAACCATACAAAGAAACACACATTGTATGACAAAATTAGAACATAATGTATACTTTAGACGTTTGTCCACTATGGCGCCTCACAGACGTTTGTCCACTATGGCGCCCCCCTTAGTGTGAGTGTGTTTTGGTTCCCAAAAATAAAATGCTTGAGAGTATTCATAAAGATAGAGCGAATGATGTAGTTTCTCTTACCTCGAAGTTGCCACTTTCATCAATGAATGTATCTTGGAGCCACCTGAAGATTCCTCCATTGTATAAAACAGGCTGTAGTGTTGAATAAAAAAACAAGCAGGTTGTTCCCATTCCCTTTGCTTGTCGTCCGACGGTTGGTGGTAAATATTGATGATATTGGTTATTTTAGGTATCTTTTGATGTGACTGTAACAGCAACATCATGCAAAAATGGAAACAAGTCAAAGTAAGATCTGTTCATACCAAGATATTTGTACAAGTGTCCATGAAGTCAAAATATTTAGCGACAGTTGTTTTTGAAGTACAAAATAGAATAGTGATGCACCTATATGGAAATTCACCGGTATTCCAATAACCGATATTGAAGGACCGATATTTTGCCGATTTCCGCGATATTCTATGTCATTTCAGAAAATTCAAAGATGACATCATGGCAGTTCTACTTTAATACTTTTGAATTTAATTATAAGTTCATTTGTTGTTTATAAATACTGAAAATATCAAATGAAATGCTGCAAATGCATTGCAACAAACTTGTATATTACTACGCCAGTGACTGTTTATTTCAAATAAAAATAACTATTGAACTCACTAATATTTAATAACAGTTTGTAATATCGGTAATATCAACAACAAAATTACCGATACGTGTATTTCTATTTTAGTACCGATAAGCTGATATCGATACACCGATATGGATATCGGTGCATCGCTAAAATAGAACCATTTAAGAACTAACTCAGTTTTATTCACACATGTGACGAAGCAACTGGAGTTGAATGTGAACTTCAAAGTTGAGGATTTACCTGAATTGTCGATAGACCATAGATTTATTGATTATCATTATAACACTGGGGTGTCGAGAAAAAGAGGTCTGGTGCGGGAGGGGTAGGGAAGGGGTGCTCGCCCTCAAAACCTTTATACTTTTTAAGCGGCATGCGGACCACTGTACATTTCTGGCGTCCGGATAGCAGAAAGCAATCTGTATATGTTTTGTTACATTTCTAGATTTGAGCTGAGTGCATCATCATTTGGTAGAGTGCAAGTTGAGCTTGATATTATATGCAAATGTGATTGTGAGAGTTCTGGGGTAAGTGTTACTCAACGATAAATATTTTTTATCAATTTACGAGGCAAAATTATTTTACTGTAAATTTGAAGGAGTTGAATTAGCACCAAAAGTGTTATTCTGCCGAAAAAAAGGTCAAAATTGTGGCAGCATAACACTCTCGTGTTGCGTCTGGGTCTAGCAACAAAACTACATGCGGTTCGTACTAGAAAATACATGCATGCAGAAACCCTCGCCTTGCTGACAAAACCATTGTATTTTCCGAACATGAAGTATTTATAGTAGTTGTCATGGTAACACGATAATTTTTTTATTTTTACAATTGAAAAATCCCCTAAAAATATCACTTTTAATTACAAAGTTTTCAATTCCCCAAACATATATATGTTAAGTATGTTATTATACGTAATATAAGTTTCAATTTAAGGTAAAATTCAACCTCAAAAGCTTCACAAGACGTTTTAAAATGTTCTTTATAAAACTATAAAACTGCCTTCAAAGGCTTTATCGAACTAAACTTTGAGTTTGAAATAAAATGATTTCAAATTCTCGCATTCAAACAACATTTAATATAATAAAAAGGCGTAATCAATAAAGAAACACTGGAATTATATGCTGTCTTTTGTGCAAAAATGAAATATATTTGCAAGAAATCATCATTCATTAATCATCAAATCTGACAAATCAAGAAATGTTTGCTATTTTCGCTGTTTGTCATGCAGTCGTTATAATGCAAACTTTAAATTTGACCAATCAGTGTCCGCTATTCATGACAGTCCGCCATATTTTTGAGATCAATGAAGATCACCACCCAGCGAAACTTCGTTGGTGACCCACGCCCGCGATCAATGATGAACTTTAGACTTCGCTAATGCTTTCGTTTCCCCGGGTGTAGATAGCCGGGCGGAATTAGTACCCTCGCCCCGGGCTTACGCCTGGAACGGCGCTCTGCGCCGTTGACTCGGGGATTATTATTTGTAGTAGTCGGGGATGACGTCAATTTCTGTATCAGAATCATCTTCACAAATAAGGAGTTTATGATAACCGACAATGGACAGGAGCAGACCAGACAACTGGCAGTCACATGCAAGCATCATTAAAATATGCGAGCTCGCAGGTGCCTTTTGAGCTTGTGCAGGCGCATTTCAGAATCTCTTTAAAAATCTGACATTTTAACAATATTCAACTCTGAAAACCTAAAATACGATGCACTTTTACAGAATTTTGCTCGCAGGTATTAGTGACTTCTGGTCATACGACTGCTTTGAACTCACCGTAGGCAAACTGCGAAGGTGAATTGGAAAATCTTCCTTCGTAGTGCCGACTACAGTCAGAATTTTCATCAAATGTTTAGCTACTAAGTTGACAATAATCACAAAGAGACGTAGAAGATGTTTAGAAGTTCTCAGCTTGTCAGTTTTGTACATTACGATCACTGATTACGACGAACGTACAGCGCATGTGCATACAAACTTCGAGGCTTCGGTGGCGCGGTCTTCAGAGCAAGGGCCTTTCACCTCTGAGATCGTGATTCGTGCGTTCGATTCTCGCTATGGACTCATGTGAAAAGAGTCAGTCAACGCTCTGCTGAAAGTCGTGGCTTTTCTCCGGGTGCTTCCGTTTCCTCCCACAGGGAAAGTTGACAGGGTATGGGTAAGGATAAACACAGTTAAGAAAGTAATATCACAATTGTTGTAAAGATAAAATAGTCTGGTCTAAGTAAGTAATTAGGTAAGTGTATAATTAACAATTTTACCATGAGCTCGAGTCGTATATGAGCTGATAGCCGACGAGGTGCGTAGTTTTTATAATATAGTCTAATAGCCATTAACTGAAGCAATAATTAATTATCCTCTGTTACAATGTCTTGACAATTTGTTCGGCCAAAAACCGCTTAGCCTTGAAAATTTGAAATACTTTTGTTTTTAATACTCGAACTCAACTTCAACTCGAAGACGAAGTGAAAGAAATGGTTTTAGAACCGGTATATATCTCACAAAAAAGCTCAGATATATTATACAGATGTTTGGTAGTATAGTAAGTCCTTGTTGACTGCAAATTCATTTGTCTTTCGTTACAAACTTTTCTGAACAATTTATATTCTCAAAGGACATGTTTCTTCGCTGTTGTTTCGGTATTAATTCTTTAAAAAGCTTGTATTTAAACTAATTTCTATGTAATAAATGTGTTTTTCTAACCTGTCAAATTTTTGTGAGAGTTTTTCCTTGTACTATTATCTTTCTCAAAGCGAATATTTTCCTTTTTTCTGCTTCGCAAAACTGTAGTTTTTGGACCGCCATCTTGTTTTTCGCCACTCGCCGTATATAGCTGATATACGGCGAGTAATTCAACCAATCAGATTGCAGAACAGCTCATATACGGTGAATGACTATATTATAATTAACAGTTATTCTATGAACTCGAGTCGAATATGAGCTGATAGCCGATGAGGCGCGTAGCGCCGAATCGGCTATCGCTCATATTCGACGAGAGTAAGTGGAATAACTGTTTTATTATATACACAAGGTCTGAATTCACAGACTTTGCTTTTCGGATATTTTCAATATTTTTCTATTTTGTTTATGTTTTTATCTTCGCTCTTTCGGCCAATTATTGTTTCAAAAATATATATTTTTAACTATTTTAAATTTTAAAAATTCATTTGCTAACCTGTAAACAATTTGTGGGAGTTTTTTCATTGTGTTTTTAATCCTGTGAAGGTTATAAAAGCGACAACTTGCCGTTTTCTCGTTTGCAAAACATCGTAAATTCAGTTTGCCCGCCATTTTGTTTTTCTCTACTAGCAGGATATGAGCTAATATCCTGCTAGTAGAGAACCAATCAGATTGCAGAATACCTCATATCCAGACCTTGTGTATATAATAATACTTGATATAAAGTGCATTTGGTCATATCCACATGTAAATTTGCGCTATAGAAATGTTTAGAAAAACTTTATTTACTACAAACACGCTAGCCTCAACAACTACTAAAGCTGGTTTCCACGAAATATATGAGCTCTAATATTGACTAATTTAAGACGCATGCATGTTAAACTGCATGAAAACTTTCTCAACCGTAGATGTAGCCGTGTTGCTGCGTGGGATACAGCAGCCGACTTGGACCGAATGTAGTCCATGCGCAAATTTTTAACCGAAGTCTGTGTTCTGTAATTGGTTATCTTAAAGTTCCTAATATAATTTAAAACACTACTCGTCGCTATTCTCCTCTATTTGATGACTTTGTATTTCGATAAATTTGAAAGTGGAAATGTTGTTATGTACGTATAAACGTTGTCTCTGTCATTTTCAGATCCCTGACAGTCCTAGATGTAATGGCAATGGAAGCCTGGTGTGTGGTAACTGTGAGTGTGATGAAGGCTGGTTAGTATTAAATAATATTACTTGAATGTACATTTATTTAAATTTTTATTGTCGTTCCTGACCTCCGGCTGATTCTCAATATCTGCTAATTGACACGTTTTTCCAACTGCTGACGTAATCAGCGTGTAATAATTACTTTTTGGATCAAAATTCGGTCCAATTTTCCGCGCGTTTGGCTTGCAGAAAAATCCTGCGAAACTTTAAAAGCTGGAAGAAAATGACTAGCCTGTGTACAGACGTTACTCTCGACGAAGCGCGCGAGAGAACGTCTGTGAGTTGGATGAAGATTTCCCCAGATTTGGGGAAAGGCCTCTGATTGGACAGTGCTTGATTTGAATAATTTATAACAAATGAAGCTATTTCATTGGTTAATTGATAATTAGCACGCGTTTAAAATAACAACACAAAAATTTTAAATTCAGTGATTTCCTCAAGAATCATGATTTCCTTCGGGGCATACAAAAGTTTGAAAGACTTGAAATATAATCTGAAAAACGATACACTCAGAAATATTTCTCGATGAAGAGATTTGTTTTGATTGCGAACAATGCTGAACGATGATCATAGCCGGCAAGTCCGGTGTACAAGCTCAGTTCTTGGCGTACATATGGCGTATATTTGTTTACAAAGACAAAGTATTAAGAGGCAATTTTTTTCAATGTCACGTATTTGCAATGAAAAGTGTTCAAAACCTAAAATCTTTTTGACGTTCCTTTCAAAATTACTTTGTTCTAGCTTTATTCTCTAGTTTATAGAGTTAGCAACCTTTTTAAATGCATCTGCCGGTTGAGAAACATAATATAATAGTTAAAAATTTGTCAATTAAAATACAATTATCAATGATGCTTTAAAATTGACGCCATGCATATTTACTGCCAAATAAGCGAAACGTACTGAACTTCAGACATCATTTTCTCTTTGGCGTATCATCTAAAACTTCTTCATTTTAGCATTATTTTACAGATAAAGCACTAAACATGTACAATACAATACAATACAATAATACAATACAATTTATTCAGTACCGGTAGTAATACATACATAAATATAAAATAAAGATAAAGTTACGAAAAGAAGGTACTAGCTAACTGTAATAACCAAAAGGCTAATCGAGACAGTCAGCGAATTTGATTAGTAACAAAATATATTTTAGTGGATAAACTGAATAAATAAAACACATGCAATAAAGATTTCAATATGGACAATTTTGATGCTATAAGCTAATATGAATTCAATATATTATTTTTAAGTTTGTTTTTAAGCTGTGATTTAGAAAGACCCTTAAGATTTTCGTCAATTGAATTCCACACATTACTGCCAACAAAACGTATATTAAATTTTCCATAGTTGGTTCTTACTTTTGGAAGGGAGTATGACGATCTCGAAGCAAGTCTGGTGTTATAATTATGTTTCTGGCTTACTAATGCAAAATACTCATCAAATACGTGAGGAAGTCGACCTGTATGAAAGTCATACATAAATAGTGCATTATGATAAAAAATAAGGTCATGAAACTTGAGAAAACGAAGTTGAATGAAGAGAGGGTTAGTATGATCCTGATAGTTAGAAAATGTTATTAAACGAATAATCTTTTTTTGTAAAATAGCTAATGGATTCACTGTTGTATTGTACGTGTTACCCCAAACAACTAGAGCGTATGTAAGAAATGGATAGATAAGTGAATAATATAAATTAGTAAGAATATCCAAGGTCACAAAATTACGTATTTTTGAGATAGCTCCAATATTGCGCTTTATCTTTTTGGAGATTTCTAAAACCTGAGCTTTAAAGTTTAGGTTAGCATCTATCACTACACCCAAATATTTGAAATTAGATGTTTGCTTCAATAATTTATTGTTAATCGTTAATTGGATACTAGAAGAAATTTTTTTCTGAGCAGGGTGAAATATAACAAAGTTTGTCTTATCGATGTTTAGCCTCCTGCGCAGACGTTGTTAGTGGCCGAGGCCTCACCTAACGTCTGCTCACATTCGCTATACATTTGACTTCCCGGCAATTAACCAATCACAATCATCTACACGATAATTGGAAGATCGGCCTTCAATGACCTTCACACGCATGGGCTATATCAACAAGTCTGTAGTATTTTTAAATTTGAAAGTTTTAACACTGCACATTAGAAAAAGGCTTTTCAGTCTATTATAAACGAAAAGGATGTTGTCGTAAATCTTACAACTGACGCAGGAAATCCCTTATTTATCACGCCGTTACCGAAGCTATTCGATGTAATATTCGGATTTAAATATTTAAACAAATTGTAAACATTGTAAGCATTTAGTAATCGTGGTTTCGGTTGATAAATTCAATACGAGATCAAGTCAAAAAACTACACGATCTAGGAGTCAGTGCTGTGTCATTATTAAGTTGAATCGAGAGCGATAAAGAAGCGAAGGCATTGGAAGAATGGAAATATTCTGACTGTATTATATGGCACAGCAGAGTCATTGCTGAAGACAAAGACAAAGTGTATGGCAGAACGGTTTGTGCTTTGGCTATTGATGCATGAAGCTCATTTCAGTATGTATTATAATAAATCCTAAACATGTGTTTGCATTTGCAATTCTCAAAGCCACAGCAATCGATCGGCTTTGACCATTTTAATAGTCGTTATTTTATATTGTCTTGATTTATACGTTGCCTCGTATTATCTATGGCACGTAGCACCAGCAAGTTTATGAGCCATTCTAGTTAATATACATGCCCCAACCCCCTCTGATGTAAACCCTTCATAATTGCCCTCATATAAACTTGCATGCTAGTACTACATGCAAATAGATAATACGAGGCAATGTATAAAAAGACAAATTCAATTTAAATAAACAATATAAAATATTAATGAATAATGACTATTAAAATGCCAAGCCCGATCGATTCCTGTGTCTTTGGGAATTACAAAAGCGAACACATTTTTAGGATTTATTATAATACATACCATTCTTTAATCGCATGAGCTTCATGCATCAACAGCCAAAGCACAAACCATTTTGCTATACGTACAATTTGTTGAAGCATTTGTTTCCATCGTTCGGTCTTCAACAATGACTCTGCATATAATACAGTCAGA